GGAGTAGAGGAAAGGGCTCATCACACAGCCTTGTGGTACACCGGTGTTCATTGTGATTGTAGATGAGCAGTGGTTATCCAGCCGGACATGTTGGGGGCGGTTAGGTTATAATTAGGTTATAATGTGCATTTTTGGACTTGTTTTTACCTTTCCCGGGGCAGATGAAAGCACTGGGGTTTATTTTTGGAGGTCTTAAAATACATTTAGTTCTTTATTACCTGTTTTAGCAGATGTGTCAAATTATGATTCCAACCAAAGTGATTCCTTTACCTTTAAACATCTTGATGGCAATAAGGTTTTTCAACACAAACCATGATGGTTTTTTTGCCATCACCAGTGTGTGAATGTGTGTGTGAATGTGTGTGTGAATGGGTGGATGACTGGATATGTAAAGCACTTTGGGGTCCTTAGGGACTAGTAAAGCGCTATATAAATACAGACCATTTACCATTTTTAACCCAAGGCCAGTATTTTCATGTGACATTAAATGACAATGAAAATGTACAGTGAGAGAAAGCGAAATTTTAGCGCTGCCATCATGAGTCTTAGCATTTTGAGCACTGCAACTCAGTACATTGTTGCTAGCTTACAGTAGTTTTATTTATGTTATTTATTTGTATTATTTTATACACACATTCATCGTGTTAAAGACCGTATTTCACAACATCTTAACTACTGCCTGTGGGTTTGTATAACTGGAGTGGTGCCACTATAGGCTGGATTGACATGAAGTAAAATTTTAAATATGTCATTTGAAATGTTGCATGTTGGCATTTTATTTTAAAAAATCTTTCTGCCTGTTTTAGAATGTGTCTGAATGTGTTTTAGAACATGTCATTAGAAGTTAGTATCATTAGAAGGCATAGCACACATTTTCACTGATTATGCATAAGATACCCACTTTTATCTATTTTTAATTGCATAAAAACCTAGATGACCTCTAATTTCCTGCTTCTAAATTCAAATAAAACTGAGGTTATTGTACTCGGCCCTTAAAATCTCAGAGATACAGTGTCTCACTTGATGCATACTCTGGATGGCATTACCTTGGCCTCCAGTGACACTGTAAGGAATCTTGGAGTCATTTTTGACCAGGATATGTCCTTCAGTGTGTATATCAAATAAATATGTAGGACTGCTTTTTTTCCATTTGTGCATTATCTCTAAAATTACAAACATCCTTTCCCAGAGTGATGCTGAAAAAACTAGTACATGCATTCATTAATTGTAGGCTGGACTACTGTTTTTCACTATTATCAGGATGTCCTAAAAACTCCCTCAAAAGCCTTCATTTGATCCAAAACTCTGCAGGAAGACTGCTGAACGGGACCAAGAAAGACAAAATATATTTCGTCCATACTGGCTTCTCTTCATTGGCTCCCTGTTCAATCTAGAATTGAATTTAAACTTGTAAAATAATCATTCCGCCTTTTATCTTAAAGACTTCATACCCCCCATTAGAGCACTTTGCTCTCAGACTGCTGGTTCACTTGTGGTTTGTGGGGTATTTAAAACTAGAGTGGGAGCCAGAACCTTCAGATTTCAGGCCTGTTTTCTGTTGTACAAGCTTCTAGTTTGGTTTCAGAGAAAGACTCTGCTTTTAAGATTAGACTTTAAATTTTCATTTAGAAGAAAGTGATGTACTTAGAGCTGTGACACATGACCCTGAGTCCCCTTTAGTCATGCAGTAATAAGCCTAGGCTGCTGGGGGCTTCCCATGATTAGTGTTTCTTCTTACTCACCTTTTTTTTTTTAAGCCACCCCAGGAGGTTAAAAGGAGTTTTCTTCGCAAATGTAAGGTTACAGGCCTTGATACTTCCAAAGATTTTTTTCTAAATGCTTGAAAGTTCATCAGACATTTACAAAATATCTGGACAATTGTTGCTCTAGTGTGTTGGATTATACCCTACTATGGTTCAGGTATCATTGGGCATCTAAGTCATGTTTTCTCTGCGAGTTTGGAGAAAGTCTGACATGGGTTCAACGAGTTCAAGAAGATGGATAGAATGTCCTTTTCACCTACACTGGAATGCCCTTTCTTTGCCCTGCCCTGTGGTGAGAAAAAAACAGCTCATCCAGATCAGCTGAGACAGTTCAAACAAGGCCAACCTTCAGAGGTTTTTGCCTGGGAGACTTTACAAAATAAAATGTAGCTTAACTTCATTTTCATTTCCATTCTCTCTGTTTCCCCAAGGAAGGCATGACGCAGCAGGATGGAACACTAACAGCAGTTTGTGCACACACAAACACTCGGCCTCCAGCTGCTCAGGGAGAAAAATTAAAAAAGACAGTGTTTACTCAGGAAGAAATTATTTTCATGCACTGGCCGCTCTGGCTGGTCGGCAGCAGTACAGTCCACCATTACTTTGGCATACACAAACCAGATCCACCAACCTGTGTTTCTTTAGTTTTGTAATGAATTGTAAATAGATTATGATAATCAGAACTTGAAATCATTTCTCTCTAAACATATTTCCACATATGTGGAAAAGCTATGTTAGCTTTAGATTTCCATTCCCTTTATTCAAATTTAGGGACCACCCAATCTTCCCCCTCTGTTGAATGGAGAGTCGTTGCCAAGGCTGCCTCATCCAAAATTCAATAACATGTGATTGGCAGGTCGAGGAAATTGAATTTGAATATAGTTTTTATGAACTGACAAATGTTTGTGCGTAAAACCTCCTCTTCTGTAACAATTTCCTGTTCCACACAATACTGTGTAGTCTGTGCCTTATGTTATTGGACGTTCCAGTATGGAGCACATTTTATAATTAAACACACACTTAAAAAAGTTTTTCAGCCTACCTCTTACTAAATATACATATTCGGGTTGTTTACTAATAATCCAGACATCATGACTTAGCACTTCTGACCTCTTACATTCTGATTCGACAACACTAGGTCACAGATTTGAGGATAACCCTGGGGTGCGTCGGCACCTGGTGAAGAAGTCGTCCCGATGTCACATGAGCCGAACCAGCAACAGTTCTACGCCGCTGTCCAGCCTGAAGAAGAAGAAGAGGGCTTCGGAAAAGAAAACTCACGAGGTTTGCAGCGCGGTGACAGCCATGTTTTGTTTTGCTTATTTTTTTAATCACATGCAGTAGCATAGCTGGTGTTCTTTTCACTGCATTGTTTTTAATTTCCAGCAGGGGGCATCTCCTCTAGCTACATAATGAAACTAATTTCCATAGAAGTCTATGGGAGAACAGCCCTTGTCTCGTGACCTGTGACCGAAGTAAACACCTTCCTCACGAGTTCATGGTTTCAAGTCTTGCTGATTATAACATGATGTTCTTTTTGTAAATAATGGTCTTCATTACAGTCAAAAAAGAAATTAAATCGAGGTATATTCAGTTAACAAGTTGCTATCATTTAAATGTCTCTTGTGTTCCAGTTTCTCGGTCAGACTGGTTCCTTTTTGAAAAAGCTGGTGCTTCTAGAATGACCTTTGCTAAGCAATAAGTTGTGTCACGATGGCTTTATCCATTTACAGTCTGTGTTCGAAAAAAGGTTGATGAAGGGATTGAGAAATAACCAACATGCAGATATAAACTGTAGGCAGACAAACCAAAACTAAAAGCTTGAAAAGGCGAAAATAGATCAGCAATGCTCAGGGGAATTGCAGAGTGGGGGATAATTTTGTGTATGCTTTTCCCCTTTCTCACACACAATCCTAGTTAGTATTAGTATAAGTATTGAGCAGTAGAGCTTTAATTACAGGTCCCAAGTGTAGTCTTATTGTAGCTTAAGCACAAAGTGCATATTTGTTTCTTCTGAGTTTGACAGTCAAAAACAAAAATTGTGTTGCTCTGAGGAAAAAAGTCATTCTTTTTAAAAATGTAACAGATTGTCCCTCTAGACCACTTTATTCTTCTTAGTTCTGTCCAAAGACAGCGAGTGCATGATGCACAGCCTTTCTCTTAGCTGGTTGAGTGTGCTGTGTGCACTGTCTTTAATCATTATTTTATTCTTTCTCCGTGTATGTTTTGGTAAACAAACTGTATTGAAGATAGGAACTTGGAAAAGAAGTTGGGGGGATTTTCACAGCTTTAAATGCGTTCCAAGGAACTTGATCATGGATTATAAACAACGTGATAGACATGTTTTTCCCCACTGAGTTACACCCTCATAACACAGTTGTCAAACATATTCCAAAAGTAATCTTAGACAGGTACGTGTAACGGGTCAAGCGTGTGCTTTAGCGCTTATGTTTCTGCCCTGTTTTATCTCCAGTTGTTTGTGGAGCTGAACGAGCTGATTGTGGAGAAGGACCATGAAATGCGATGGAAGGAGCGCGCTCGCTGGATCAAGTTCGAGGAGGATGTGGACGATGAGACGGACCGCTGGGGAAAACCTCATGTGGCCTCGCTGTCCTTCCGCAGCTTGCTGGAGCTTCGCCGCACCATCACACATGGTAAAAAGCTCCTGCGTGTGTCCAGCAAGCATCAGGTTATCAGTCATGCAGTTTGTTGTATGTGCAGCTGAAATGAAATTCACAAACATAACTGTGATATGCAGAAAACCGCAAATTGTTTCCTGCTTTGTTTCAAGCTTGCTTAAAACTGTTTCTTCCCCTTAAGACTGAATAAAGTTGCAGCAGCGACTTGTTTGGGTTGGCCTTTCTTCTCTAGGTGCCATCCTATTGGACCTCGAACAGACCTCTCTGCCCGGCATCGCCCACCTGGTCGTGGAGACGATGATCATTTCCGATCAGATCAGAGCCGAGGATAGGCCCAACGTTCTTCGGGCCCTGCTTCTCAAACACAGGTCAGTAACCAGGCTGACACTAGCATTAGGCTGTGCCTGATTGAGTGCATCACCAATTCATAACATTATTTCCTGCGGTGGTAAACAGTGAAGAACCACAGTTCAAGGAGAAGATGTTTCAAGTTAATGGAAAAGAGATGAAAAATAAAAGCCGAGCAGAGCAGTGAATCAGAGGAATAAAAGTGATTGTTTTCCCCAATTGGTTTGCAGCAGTTTAATTATAAAGACTAGTTAAAATGCTAACACCACCTTCGATTTTTGTAATACAGGGTGTCATCCTGTGCACTGCTGCTGCTTTATGTTTGTAGGCGTGTGTGCCAGTGTGTGCACTAGCTCTGACAGATAGAGAGCAGAAAGAAAGATGTGACTTGGTGTGTAAGTTTTTCCAAAAGTTCTCATTGTGTCAGGGGACACAGAAGAGCAAACCATTTAGCTTTCTTGAAATATTTGAAAGGAGTCTGGTTAAGGCTCTTTTTGACTTTGTGCCTGACCCTGAGTAAAGATCATATTAACATGTAACACACTCATGTTAAGAAAAGGTTGTTTATGTGTTCTTTATGCGTTTGGATTTACAGTAGCTTAATGAGAATGTGCTTCCTTAACATGTTTATCTTTGGATCTTTGAGAAAAAAAGCTTCCTGTTTATCCCTTGACTTCTGTTTCATGAGATATTCCCTAAAATCAGTGAGATTTAGTTGGTTCTTTACCCATGTATTAACCAACCTGTCAATTTAGGGTACTGTGGATGCAGCTTTGTTTACATTCTGACCCTGGATTGTAGGTTTGGTCGTATGAAGAATTAGATCCAAGCCTTCCTGCTCATTAATCATTATCCCACAGAGGAGAGAAAAAAAATTCAACTCAGGGGAACTGGGCTGGGAATTTCCAAAAAGTGACATTTAACAAGACTTGGCTCATCAACTGCTGTACTTCCCCGGGTTGACTGAACTGCAAATGTCAAGACTGGGCTGTATCTGTACTGAGTGTTAAAGCCTGTGCTGTTAGACTTAGCGTTTGAGTCTTCGTTGTGTGGTCCTTCCTGGATGTTTGATCTTTGCCTTTGTTTAAGACTGTTGCTGATTCCTATGCACTGAGAGTGAAAAGGAGAGTGTAAAATTTATGTGTCCCCAAAATTCACTTTATAAATTCAGGCTTACTTTTTTCCTAAAAAACTATACGTGTTTTCATTTCATTTCATGTTTCTTTCTAGCTGGCTCAGCTGTTATTTGAACCCAGGAGTTTTCAGCGCTTTGCTTTTTTCTGCATTAGTAAGTCTAAGCCTGCCACTGCTGGATCGATGGTGTTGTTGGAAATTATTGGGTGTGATGCTGTTAAACCAGCGGAAGTGTATATGAGTAGATATGGGAAGGTGGTGGTAATCATAGGACACTAGAACGTGCTTTTCGTTGTCATAATCCGAATTCAAAAAAGTAATATTTAACTAGCTATTCACAAAACACGTGAGGATATAGTTACTTACATCCTGTACCCAAGTCAAACAAATAAAAGCATGGAACTGTGACTCCAGTGCTCCCTGATATTGCCACTCTTTGATTTGCCCTGGCATTGACACGACAGCTAAACTGAGATGATACACGTGGCCAATCGAATAGCGCTCTATAACACTGCGAATTACATTTTACAGTTACATAACTAGAGACTGGAAATAAGTTGAGTGAATGTTGGCTAAATTACCAGAGGAAAGACGAGCCCTGCCTGTCAGAAGTACATACAATGTTGCCATCTTACTCACAAAGCCTCCAATTAATATTAATAGAAACAAATCTAAATCCTGTTCTGCAGCTTATGATATTTAACTCAAGAGCTCCTGTGACTTTTGCTTTTCTAAAATGATGCTTTTGTACTTAGGTGGAAGTAGTATAGAAAATAAGATAAGGAAGACAAGCGCATTCCAGAACAACTTTTGAACTTGGAGTGAGACAGTTTTGTCAACTGGTGTTGAATTTTCCCTCACGCCTGTTATTGTTATACTTTACAAGGAGCTCAGAATGTCCCTTTTTCTCCTGACTGCATAGAACCTCAGTCCTGCCAGGTTCCCCCCTTTTTTTTAAGGCAGAATGGTACAGCCTGGATTTGAAGAAGAAGAATCTCTCCTGGATAATGGTGTGGTGACCTTAGTTAGACCCATGGATTATAGCGAAAAATAAATATCATAAATTTAACCGTGGCAACATTTACAGTTCTTTTTTACATATTTTGCACACATGCTCACAAAGCGCCACAGCAGATGCACTCAGAAGAAGCAGGCCAGTGGACGTTCTTAGCAGCGGGCCTTCATGCATTCGTTCCACATTTCACTGCCTTTTCGCATAAATTCCCAGCATGTCACTGGCTGGTTCCACAGGGAAAAGAACACTCTGTCGTTAGAGTCATCGCTAGGCTAAAAGATCAGATTTATGTCGTGGAATAAAATCACACTGAAGTGCTGCTAGGATTTAGCTCATCGCTTACTCAGACCACTTTAAGGATCCTTTGGAAACGTTTTGTGTGCAATTGACTTCAGTGTCACACTTCGTTCTTTTGTCTTGGGGCGCTGTCTCTTCCAATTTGAGCACAGTCTTATTGGACCATGTGGGCCTAATGAGTGAGGTGATGTCACCAGTGGACTGAACAGTGATGTAGTGAAACTTGGCCAGTTTGACATGCTTAAAAACTCGTCTTTAAGTGGGGTGAAATGTGCTTAACATCACACGCAAAGAAAGCAGAGAAAATAAGGGCTACAAAGGTCAGTCTCTGGCTCTTTTATTGATACCGTAATGCAAATATCACGTTAATGTGTCAACTCAGATTTTCCTGAAACCGCTTTCTGATTAGCTGCAAAGCGGTTTAATTTTGGAAGGATTTTGCTGATGACTTTTCTAAGATTTATGACCTCCACTGCAGCCGCATGAGGTAAAGATGGTCAACACATTAAATGAACAAAAGATGGATTAGGTGAATAAGAAGCACAGCTGTTTTGAGCATTTCTAGAATCCAGGTAATTCTGCAGCCCACTTAAAAATGATTAAGCTGTCCTTAGCATTAGGCAATTGAGCATGGATATTTTTGGCCTTGAAAACAGTAGTTATTAAATAATAGTAAAAGCAGCTGCACCTTCTGGAGGCTTTGAGTTAAGATTATATTTCTGATTCTTACCTTTGAAAAAGTGCTTGCAGAAGCACCCACTGGAATTTCAGGTCTTGTGAAAGTTCACGTAGGTATTTATTAATGTCATGGAAAAATGTTGACATTTACAAGACTGGACTTGCACCAAATTTGATTCAGACTATTTCCGTTGTTCTTATTCCCCTGAATGACCCTTATCATTCGGTATCACCAGTTCTTAGCTGTCTCCAGCTACGAGCAGGCTCGGGCAGTTAACACATTTAATTTTGGAGGTGCCGCCTCGTTGACAGAAGCGTGTTTCCGTTCTAAAGCAGCAACAAAAGTAAGCACAGTTGGGGGAGTTGTTGGTAGCATAATCCCATAACCTTCATCTCGAGTTCGACCACCTCCTTTTGAAGGTAACTTTCTTGGCCTTTCACTTTTATTTACTGACTTTTGTTTTCATTCACTGTCTGGTTAGATTTAGGCATTGAAATGTTACACCGGTAGTCTATTTTGTACCACCACAAGTACGAGTCTGCATAGGTTCAAGTGTTGGAGATAGGACCTGAAATCCCCATCTCAATGTCCAGCCTCCAGTTTTCTATCACTGTGCAGGCTTTTCCTTGCAGACAGTATAGGATGGCAGTTGCTGGCCATATCTATGGATGAGATAACAACTGCAACTGGCATTTCGAAATGAGAATGTATATAACAATTTGATAACTTTGATGATCTCTTAGCCCTTTTTTGGCTCTCACATGAGATTGACTTTTGGGATTCAAATGAAATGAGTGGACAGGTATTGGTTGCTTATATCATCATTAGAATCTGCTCTCTTACTGTGACCCAAATCTCCTTCACAGCCTTGGCTGTGCTTTTGTGCGTTCTGCTAATTTGCAAAAGCCTCCATGTTAAGATGCTCATTGCTGTTTAATATTGTGATGTTAACTTTAATCACATTAACATTTTTTGCAGTTTAGTGACTATATTATATTGCAGGCATAGCTGGAAATTATACTTTGTATATATATATATTTTTTTGCAGCCATCTAAGCGATCACAAAAATCGTTTTCATCGCCACCACTCATCCAGCAGTCTTCATGGCAGCTACAACCACAACCACGTCCACGACACCAACCAGCCATTGGTGTCCGAAGAGCACGATGAGCACCACGAACACAAAGGACCCGTGTACGATCCCAAACAAGACGTTTTTGTTAGCCTGTTTGTAAGTTTTCTCTTCTCTCTTTAATGTGTTACACATTGTCAGTGTCTTTGTAGTTAACGTCATTTACACAGCTCATTTGATTTTTAAGAGGCTCCTGACAGAGATCTGAGAAATATGGGGTCTCGGCGATGAAACAATGTGACGTCGTTGAAACAGGCAGACAGCGCGTTAAATTGGCTCTACCAAAGCCAAAGTGAGTGATTAAGTAGCTCTGACAAGATCCCACCGGGGTAATTGGACTCAGCTATCTAAGTGGACGGAGATTAAAGGGACGCTGAGCTGTCTTGTTTTAGTTTATGGTTTGCATTAAGTTCTAAGAAGCACACAGTGAGCACAGATTTTGAACGTGGTTACACAAAATTCCTGATGTGAGGCCCGTGGCTCTCACTTTGGCCTTTGAGACGCTTCTTAACAAGGTCAGAGGTCATGTAAGTAGTTCTTGAAGTCGGAGAACGCAGGCCTCCCTGCGCCACATGTGTTGAGTTAAGTTCTTAGTCAGCGTACAGGTGCTTTTGGTTAAAGCATCTTGATATATTAGCTGCGAAAACTTGTTCCTCCTCAGCTTAAAATGTTGGCAAATTTAAACCAGCTTATTAAAAAATATTTTTCAGGCATAAAAAATGGTTTGAAATGAGATGTGACTGTTGATACCTACGTTCCCACAAATGTAAGAATAATGTCACATTATTAGCGCAGTTCTTTGTTATATCACATCACCCTGGCTAGCCAGTAATGTGGGTAATCTTTGTACTGTTCTTCCTCCAAGAAATCTCTCCACCCTCTGCCGGAGACTCATCCAGCCACAGCCAGATCTATGAAACTTCTCGCCAAGATTCCCAAAGACGCTGAGGCGGTCATTGTTTTAGTTGGTAAGCTTTGGGACAGAGTTTTTCTTTTCAGTTTTTATAAACCACTGGGAGAATAATGCTAATTTCTTGATTTGGCTGTGCCTCACAAACTGCCACTCTCAATATTTTTCTTGTGAAGTACATCAAATCAGTAAGCAGGTTTTTTTTATTTCTTTATTTTGTCCTGTTCTGTAAGGTTGTGTTGAATTTCTGGAGCAGCCGGCTATGGCCTTTGTCAGGCTGAGCGAGGCAGTCCTTCTGGAGTCGGTGCTTGAGGTTCCCGTCCCTGTTCGATTTATTTTCGTCCTTCTCGGTCCCAGTCAGTCCAACGTGGACTATCATGAAATTGGACGTTCTTTCTCCACTCTCATGTCAGACAAGGTAGCCTCCAAATCTCATTCTAAGGCTCTAAGGTGTGTAATTTTTTTTACTAATAATGATAATCTGCTAAACCAAAATAGTTTTGAATCCTATAATATCTTTCCAGTGATAGAAAGTGGGGGTTAAAATTGGACAAGTCACACAGATTTCTAATTATCCTGCTTTTTCTGTCATGGCCATCCACTTCTGTTCTGGATTAGAACTTCCATGAGGTTGCCTACTTTGCTGATGACAGACAAGACCTCCTGAATGGCATCAATGAATTCCTGGACTACAGCATCGTGATTCCACCGTCAGACGTGGAGGGAAAAGACCTCCTGAAGACAGTGGCTGACTTCCAGAAACAGATGCTGCGGAAGAGAAAGGAAAGAGAGCTCAAGAAGCACAGCTCCTTAATTGGAGTAGAGGCAGAAATCAAAGGTAAAAAATAATGTACTTGAATTGTTCCAGACAGCACTGGTTCAGAAAAGGCTGGAAAACTTCAGTGAACAACTAGACACCTGGACACTTGAGACTTGTGTATTAGGGCTCAAATCAACAAAAGAAATGTGTCTAATCTATTCTCATGTCTTTTCTGATGTTTTCATAGAATCTATTCTAAATAGAAAAAATATAAAATTCATTCACTACCTTGTTTTTTGGAGGAAGAAATTATTAGATTTGGAAGAGCAAATGAATCGTTAAGTTATCAGCCAAATGCTAAAAAGCTTTGTTAGCAAGGAATGTGCATAGGCTATATAGACAGAAACCAATACTAGCTTGTATTACTTGTACTAGTACTTGTACTTGTACTAGCTAATTAACAACCAAATAAAATACTAGAATTTTGCTTACAAAAGCTGGACTTCTTGGATGGCCTTTTCCAAAAGCAACCGGCAGCATAAATATGGTCAAATGGTCCATATCAGTAACTAGCATCATAAACAGCTAGCATCAATCGCTACGTATTTTAGCACCCACTGGTCAGTCACAGAATTAATGAACTAATATTTGCAAATAAAAAAGCAGCAATAAAATTTAAGCATGGAAGATAAAGCACATAATTTACCCCCTGTACAGCTGTTATAAAGGAGACGTTTCTTTCTACTATAAAGTTGGACATTTTAAAATGAGGGTCAAAAAGAAATGACTCCCTTTTGGAGGTAACGTCAAGTGGCCAGTTGAAGAACTGCAGTGGTTTATTGTTTTTTACTCATGGACGGTCCGTGGATATTAGTTTGTTCATGCTGTGACGCCTGTATGAATGCCCACAGAGGTGAGTCCTGAGGAGGAGGAGGAGGGAGAACAGGAAGTGGATCCATTAAAGCGCTCAGGAATGCTGTTTGGAGGTTTGATCCACGACATCCGCAGGCGTTACCCGCAATATGTGAGCGACTTAAAAGACGCCCTGGACATGCAGTGCATTGCTGCTGTCATCTTCATCTATTTTGCCGCACTGTCACCCACTATTACCTTTGGAGGCCTCCTGGGTAATCAAAACTTACTTAAAAAATATAGTCCATATTCTTTGATGTACTGCATGTAATTTGTCTATCTCTGTGTGGCTACTTCTGCATACAGGAGAGAAAACGGAGGGCATGATGGGAGTGACTGAACTCATTGTTTCCACTGCAACTATCGGGGTTATATTCTCACTGCTTGCTGGACAACCCCTTCTCATCACTGGCTTCTCTGGACCCTTACTGGTGTTTGAAGAGGCCTTCTATAAGGTGACTTTTAGCAAGACAATGACAGCACAAAGCCTCCCACTTCATGTCATCCCATGTACTTTTTCTCTTGTCAGGTGATTAATCTGTCCTCTCACTCAGTTTTGTCAGGTCTACAACTTTGAGTACCTGACTGGTCGAGTGTGGATCGGCTTCTGGCTCATCTTCATCGTCCTGGTGATTGTGGCAGCAGAGGGTAGCTTCCTTGTCCGCTACATCTCACCTTTTACACAGGAGATTTTCGCTTTCCTCATCTCCCTCATCTTCATCTATGAAACTTTCTCTAAGCTCATCAAGGTAAGAATTTAAACAGTAATCAGTCCTGCAAACGCTAATAAAATCAGTCACATTGTATAGATTTACTCTTTTTTTTTTTTTTTCTTCCAGGTTTTTAAGGAACATCCACTGATGGCAGTGTATCCCACTGACGCCAGTGGGTCTCAAAATTTTGATGGTCCCATATACAACCAGCCTAACACTGCTCTTCTTTCTCTGGTGCTCATGATGGGCACTTTCTTTGTTGCATTCTTTCTCAGGAAGTTTCGAAACAGCCGGTTTTTAGGTGGCAAGGTAATAAACTTCCTTTAACCCTTTCAAACAAATCATATCATGCATCTCATGAGAATATAAATGAACTCTATAGAGCATTTTTTATTACATCTATTCTAAGTCTAAAGTGAATGGACTTCTTTATGTTTCATGGAGACAAGGGTGAAACCACTGCGATACCTTGCCCTCACCCTATCATATGATCTATTAAGGTCAGCTGACACGTGTTGTGAGTGGGGGTTGAGGCGCTTGGGAAGAGATCTCAAGACTGCATTGTAGGTGGCTGACAGTTGGTGTCATAACCCACCGCATCTGTTTAATTACGGTTGTACACAGGGCACATAGATGGCTTCTTTTACTCTTCTGTCAAGCCCGCTTTGTTGTCGAAAGAGTGACCTTTACCCTTTAGGTGAGGGTGTACAGTATAGTGCTGCTCTGCACAGCATGCACAGTGTTGTTATCTTGTGTTTGGGAGCTTTTGTCCTTGAGATAAACCAGTATTTGTCTGAAGCTGCAGCTGGGTCTAAAGTACAATGCTCATGATAGGGTGAGGGAAGGTGTCACAGTGGTTTCAGCCAAAACCTCTGGTGATGTTAAGGACCCACACCTTTTTTCACACCTTGGCTAAGGTGAGGTCAGCAACCCTCACTAAGGTTTAAATACCTCTCTGAAACTCTCTTCCATTTGGTTTTAGAAGTGACGACACCTCTTGAATGAGAGGTGAAACATCTTCTTGAAATTTAAATTTCATTTACTTTCTAAATAAATACATATTTTAATGTATATTTTAGAAACAGTATTGTTTAAACTTCATCCTCTGTGGCTTTTCTGCATGCTGTTACCACTAAATATTGTGGAAAGGTGTCCAAACCTCAGCAGGGATGTGTGACATGCTGTGAAAGAAGAAGGGCCATATATGAAACATTGCTCTTTAGCACTCCTAGTGGAGGAAAACGTCAGCGTTTATGTCAGAAGGTTGATTCTGTCCATCTGGACAGAAATGTTTTGTCACTCATACAAATGTATTCTTCATTCGCAGTTGAATGCATAATGACTGTTATGCAACTGTACCATTTATAAGTTTGGGAAAACCTGCAGTGAGCTAAGACTGAATAACTCACTTGTTCCAGATGAACATTTCTGGCATTTCTGTACCTGGATGACAGAGCATGTATCAAGACTTCACAGTTTATATTTGAAGGTAAACTGTAGCTTAAGATGAGACGAGGCAGGTAGGCTGTGTGATTTCAGATCGTAAATATCTTTGTCTCTGCACTGAAACGGTTATGTGCAGTTATTCAATGATGCAAATACGTTTTTAAGCTTCTGTTTTACAGACAAACTACTGCTGGCTAGTCTTGATAGCTAAAGTGGTTTGTTTTGATGAAAAAAGAGCAGATCAGTCATATAATTTATACTCATTCATATGAAAAGCAATTCAAATCAGCATTTTTCCACTCAACAGGAGGTTGTTCCCTTCTGCATGACTTCTTTCTTCATAATCTTTGACTTATGCTCAAGTGATGTTTCTCTTTATGAGATCTGGGATGTATTTTCACTTTTAATTTAATGTTTGGTTTCTTGATATCCCCAGGCCAGAAGGATTATCGGTGACTTTGGCATCCCGATCTCAATCTTAGTTTCAGTACTGGTGGATTACGCCATTACTGACACTTACACACAGGTAGCGTCACTGCTAATCACAGAAATCCTGCACAGCAAGTGCAGACATTTTTCAAAAGCTCTAACATATTTTTCTTTTCAGTATTAAAAACAGATTTTTTTTTCTCTCTTTTAGAAACTCAATGTGCCATCAGGTTTTTCTGTCACGTCTCCTGATAAGAGAGGTTGGTTTATCAGCCCCTTTGGTGACAAGAAGCCCTTCCCCACTTGGATGATGGGGGCGTCTGTTGTTCCTGCCCTGCTTGTGTTCATTCTTATTTTCATGGAAACTCAAATTACTTCGTACGTTCGCACGCCATGATTATATACAGTTGCAAAGAATTCTGTACATGTGCATGAAATATGTTCACTAAAATAAACATTTTATTGTTTTCGTCTTGTTCCTCCAACATCTTAGGTTGATAGTCAGTAAGAAGGAGCGTCGGCTGGTTAAAGGCTCCGGCTTCCATCTGGATCTCCTGCTCATTGTCATCCTGGGTGCCCTCTGCCCCCTTTTTGGCTTGCCGTGGCTCACGGCAGCCACTGTGCGCTCTGTCACTCATGTTAACGCGCTCACAGTGATGAGCAAGGCCACGGCTCCTGGAGAAAAGCCCATGATCCAGGAGGTGAAAGAGCAGAGGCTCACCGGACTTCTTGTGGCTGTGCTTGTTGGTAAGAGGAGAGGCAAGGATGGGAGTGGGGAGTACCAAATGACTATGCAGCACACCCCCTTCCTTTTTTGATCATAGCTTAGCAACTGTAGTTAGAAAGGCCTGACATCAAGCCTGTTGTTTTAGATATACATACATTGCATTTATGTATATTTATTTGCAGACTTTCTAAACAGATGGTTGTTTAGAACGTCTACAGCACTTTGACTGTGATTTCTTTAAAAAAAAAATGTGTATCATGCTCTGTTATGTAAGATTTCAAATAATCAATTAAGTCCATAAACTCATAAGGAAAAGGTCCTAATTGCTGAGGAGTTGGGGTATTTTCTCCCCACTGCAGGCCATTAAAAGGAATGCAGTTTTAAGCTGCTTTAACACAAGAATGGAGCCTCAAAGTCTGAAAGTGAAGCCAGTGGCCGAGTCAAATGAAAAGAACGTTTTTTAAGGAATCTGTCCAGTCCTGTGAAAAACAAAGTAAACCATTACTTCTTTCGGAGGAGTTAAGAGGATAAGTAGTAGCCAGATGCTGCTAATCAAATGCACTTAACTAACTGATCTTTAGCAAGTTTGGACACTTCTATAAAAGCAGTATTCGTAGTTTTCTGGTCTGGAGCATTCGGATGTGTTACTACAATGCCACATTTTCCCCAGGAGTGGACGGACCAGCATATTCAGCCAGATCTCAGATTTTTCAGTGCACAGAGACACTGTTAGAAAACCCAAAAGCTCAGATTCTACAGGTCTCAATTCACATAGTAAATATTAAAGTGCATGACAACACAATCAGAAAAACTGAACAAGTATTGCTTGTTTGGAAAGGGTTGCTAGGAGAAAGCCTCTTCTCTGTAAAAAGAAAGAACATAGTGTACTTAGCTTTGCAAAGTTTGCATCTGAACAAACCACAGGACTTCTGGAACAATGTGCTTTGGACATATGAGTGGAGTCATAATTGGTAATAATGCACTGTGCCACTTGTGGCAAAAGCCAAACTAAAGGTTGGCTGAAATTGGGTCTTGCAACAGAACAATGATCCAAATTATAGCAGTAAATCAACAAAAGGAAAAGATTAAGGAAGGAGAACTGTGCATAAATTAATCCTCAAATAGTTGACCTGCTATACCTAATGAGCTACATCAACCCTAAAGTTCTTCTTAAGTCAGACAGAAAAAGATTACCTCAAGTTACTTAATGTTAAGATGGCTCTACAAGATACTGAATGGGGTGCACTTGGTCTTTCAGGGGTTTGCACAGAGTCTGTGAAAATGTCCATTTTCACATGATTGCATATACACTGTGTGGCTGCTGCCATAGTAAGTATAGCAACATTAATTCCAAAGTCAAAATAAACGCAATTATTTTGTCCAATTACAGAAAAACATATAAAGCCTGTTGTTTTTTAAGAGTTTGCCAACATTAACGCAGAAATTAACCTATTTAATTTAGTTAAAATTAATTGAAAAGGGGAGACAATGTATCGGCTGGCAGAATTACACTTCTTATCATTCTATGTAAGGAAAGTGTAAGGATCAGAATTTACACCAGATCAATATTCAAGATGGAATAAAACACGAATCTGAACCAGTGGCTATTTCTAGGTAAATAAACGCGAGCTGGAAGAGTGGCAGCTCTGTAGCTCCTGCATGTCTAGACATTCATGAAGGTTGACTCAGCCCAACAACAGCTTAAAATGATTTTTCATTCTGTTTGTCTTCAAAATGAGCCGAGACAGTCGTTCTACAAGAAGAAAATTTTGTGAAAGTGAAAATGCACTGCCTGACATTGCAGCATTGTTTTTCATCCATTGACTCATTGCGTTTTGCCGACTGAAAGTCTTGTTTCAATTAAGGTAGGGTTCCCGAAGCAATCTTAAGTCTAGTTTGATCCAGTTTGGGTATGCAGGCGTGGTGAGTCATCATGATTGTTGAGCTTTTGTTTGAGTGAAATGCTGTTTGGATTAGGAAGAAGACTGTTTGGATTAGCCCTCAGAGTATCTTAACCAAGGCATCTGAAGAGGGAGTGTGTTTCTAATAAAAGGCACGACAGCGTGTTTGTTTTTAAGGGCCGTTCCCGTTCCCTTGTTGAATGAATAATTTTCTCCACAGTTGCCAGTTATTGTGCACGCATGCAGTAAAATCATGTTAAAAGTCCCCCTTTAAATCCCTGTTTGCCCATCAGGTATGTCCATAGTGATGACAGATATTCTCCGCCTCATCCCTCTGGCTGTGCTCTTCGGGATCTTCCTGTACATGGGGGTCACCTCTCTGACGGGCATCCAGCTGTACGAACGCATAACGCTTATGGTCACGCCTGCCAAGCACCACCCGGACCACATCTACGTCACCAAGGTAGCACACGCAATAGCAGTGTTTACATGCCCTCTGCTCTATTATGAGCGGTAACATGGAGAAACCAAAGCCAGCAGAGCAGCAACTGCGGGACCAAAATGACGTCCGTCCTCAGCGTTTGAGTTAAATCAAAAGAAAAACAGAGAGGCTTAGATGCTGAGAGTCAGAGACATACTACAACGTCACAGTGGATAATGACAAATCCCAATGAAAACCATGCACACCAGATTTCTGGTTTAAAGTCCTGGTTTCGAAAGAGTTTTTTCCTGGAGTTTGGACCCAAATCTGAGAGTAACCTCAACAGTTTAGGGAAAAGCACAGTTCATTTTCTGGCCATCTGGTTACTAATTCATCCATTCCTCTTATTTCACCTGCAGCTGTCAGACTATAGCATAGTTTTATCTACTCTTTGTATTACTGGTGTCAAACCATTTACATCTGTAATTTAAAACATCTAATTAAAATATTAAAGCAAAAAAAAAATCAGAAAAGATAAAAATAAAAACTAGATTCTAGAAAAATGTCTTAATTTTAGTCTTTTAGCGTTACTTCATGTCGTGTTGCGCTGTATTCTAAAACCTTGTAAATTTTGCCTCCCGTAAATCATTCAGTATTTATATTGCATCAGCTGGCTATAACATTGCCTCAAAATGCTTTATATTAAAAGGTAAAGATCCTGCAATACTCGAGAGAGTCTTCTATAAGAAGACACATCCTCCTCTGTCACACCAACCCTCTGCATGTCCTCCTTCACTACATCCATGAACCTCTGGATGAAGCTCCGTCTTCAACATCCTTTGCCCAATATATTGTTGCTGAAATTTGAAATAAATTAAGGCGCACACAGCCAGGCTGTCTTTATGAGTTTCATTACTTTTGTTAAGCGGTCAAACAGCACAGGCAATGTGACAGTAGCCTGCATCTTTATAGAGACGGGTTATCTCTCTGCCATGGTCACAGAATACTTTGTGTAATAAAAAAATAACTCGTACATCAACATGTGATATATCTGGAAAATAGCAAAGCTCCGATATTGTCAGGTCAGCTAATCTTAACACCATCAAACCAACTTAACACCTTCAACTCAAAAACATAACCTCTTTTTCTAAAGTTGCTGTGTTTACATGTGCAGCAGATTACCTAGATGTTAAAAAAACAGTTATAACTGGGATGTAGTGGGATCTTTATGTACACACAGCAGCAGTGCGTGAAAACACACACTCTCCATGGGACTACATAGTAGGATTGTATTTCATGTCTTACCAGAAACTTAAACAGCACGTCCTCAAGTGCGCAGATGCTTGCTCTCTCTATTATTATTTTTTTAACAGCACGGTTTCCAACCTAATAGCTCACGTAGAAAAGCTTAGATCTTGTTATGTAGGGAACACTCCCTGCTAACAGGTCTCCCATTCACAGCCAGAGCAACTTTGCAGCTGCTTATCGTGATAACTTGCAATAAAGCCTATGAGACTGTAAATAAATTACAACCATTCCCATGTCTTAAAATCCAATCTTAATGGCTTTGTAATTCAAAATTTTCCCTGGTGAATTTCTTAAAAAAAGAGAGACAGGAAATCTAACCCTCATGCATGTTTAAAAAAAGATTAGATGCAGAATTTTCCACTAGATGGCGCCAAAAATGTGATTTGTGCATCTCTGGATATATCTGTCTGTGCTGTAATTTCCTGGTTTCTAACCCTCTGACCAATATGTGTGTGTTTCTTCAGGTGAAGACATGGCGCATGAACATGTTTACCATCACCCAGCTGGCATGCATCGTGGCTCTGTGGGTAGTGAAGTCTACTGCGGCCTCCCTGGCGTTCCCCTTCGTCCTCATCATGACGGTGCCGCTGCGACGCCTCATCCTCTCCAGGATCTTCGAGGAGCGTGAGCTCCAGGTGGTAGGTTTAGGTAGCAGAGGCTTTCCGAGAATGTTTGCCACAATCATCTGATCCCACATAGCCTCGAGATACTTACTGTATACGGCAAATTTAAAATTCAGCGGACGTTGGCATGTTTTTATATCGGTCTAATACTGACTTGCAGGGCTTGAAACAAATTTGACCCCTGACAGTTCTGATGATTATTTTTGCCCCTGTGATCATTTCTCTTTCTCATCCAAATAATTTCAAGATATATGCAGATATTGCTTTTGGGTTTCATGTTTTCTTGGACAGATCCACCTAAACCCATACATGTCATCACTGTCAAATTAAAACCTTCCATTTCCTAAATGTCAACTTTTTAAGAGCAAGAAAATAAGCTTATTCTTAACATGACCACCGTTCATGTGTTCTCATGAAACCTCTGCGCTGCACAATTGCCCCAAACCACCTAAAGGACTGGCAAAAGAAAGTTGAAAATTGCCAAAGCTGAACCTCCTTGACGTCAAATCCTCCACTCCCTCGAACCTTCACCCTTGTATGAACTCCATAATAAATGTTCCTGTTTCACATTCTTTGCTTTGCTTTTCTGCACTATAGACAATTGGTAAACCAAAGAAAGTCAAAGGGGAAAAATGGCCTTGTAGCTCTGGTTTGTCTCATGTTCACATTAGTGGATGAAATAATGTGAACCTGAGGGAAAGTCATTCCTAGAAAAACTTCTAATGATCCATGTATGGGAAATGCAAATTAAACAAACAAAACAAAAAAGAAAACTACTAAGTACATGATTTGGACCTTTGCTAGTCAAGATTGACACATACCATCAATGATTTTCTACAATAATTCCATAAATATAACCTAAATCCCAAAAAAGTGGAAACAGTTTGTAAAATGTTAATAAAAACAGAATGCAGCGATCTGCAGATCTCATAAATAAATCCATATTTTCTTCACATGGGAATATAAAAAAACATATCAAAGGTTTACATTTTCCTGTGTTGCTACATTTTCTTGCTTCCAGAAAAATACTAGCTCAGTCTGAATCTGACACATCTCAAAAACGATGGGACAAAGGCAACAAAAAACTGGGAAAGTAAGTGGCACTAAAAAGAAACAGCTGGAGGAACATTTTGCAAGTAATTAGGTTAACTGGCAACTGGTCGGTTACATGACTGGATAAAAGGGAATTGTGGAACACTCTCAGAATAATATTCCTCAGTGTAAAATTGTGAAGCCATATGCAAACATGATCCAGAAACACGCTTCTCTGGGCCAAGGCTCATTTAAAATGGACTGAGGCAAAGTGGGAAACTGTTCTGTGGTCAGACGAATCAAGATTTGAAATTCTTTTTGGACAACATAGACGCTGCATCCTCTGAACTAAAGTGGAGAGGGAACCTCTGGCTGGTTATTGGTTCAAAAGCCTGCATTTCCGATTCTATGGGGATGTATGAGTGCCTTAGTTTGCACATCTGGAAAGTCACCATAGGGTATATACAACTTTTAGAGCAACTACACTACCATCCAGACAATGTCTTTTTGAGAAGGCCTTGCATATTTCAGCAAGACAATGCTAAAGTGCATACTTCATACCCTTACAAGACCTTTCTGAAACATTTGGGACATGATGGAAAATGCAACAAAGCAGGCCCAGGACTGTTAAGCAGCTAGAATCCTCTATCAGACAAGAATGAGACAACATTCCTTTCCCAAAAGTCCAGCATCTGCTCTCCTGAGTTCATTTACAGACTGATGTAAAAAGACGATGAGACGCTACAAAGTGGTAAACATGTACCTGTCCCAACTTTCTCGAGATATATTTCTGCCATCAAACTCAAAATGACCGTATGACCTTGAAATGGTCATTTTTTTCTCAATTTAAACATTTGTATTTTTTCTGTGTTCTATAGTTCACAAAATATGGGTTTGAGATTTGCAGATAATTGCGTTTTCTATGTAGTTAAAATTACAGCATTTCAATGGGTTTTTTTTTTTGGTTTTTTTGAACTGGGGATTGCAATTGTTTCACGAATGTTCTTCTTGTTACCACATTTTCCAATAACGAGCTATAACTCAGTTCTAAACTGTATATAAAGAAAAAGAATTTTATATTTTTTTAAAAGCAGACGTTTTAAAAAATGTCTCTTGTCTATATGTTAAACATAATTTGAAAGCCTGCACCTGTGATGCTAAATTGGCTAATGCAGATTAACACAGAAAATTAGATAGACATTACTGTAGTCTGCTTCTTCAAGATTTGGTGACTTTTAAACAATCAGGCTAGCTTTTTCCATCTGTTTCTGTCTTTGTGTTTAATTTAGGTTAAGTTGCTGCCCGTTGCTATTTGAACTCGCTAAAAAGTCAATAATAGCTGAGCAGTGGTAAACCTTGAAAAAGTTATACGCAAACCAGAAACCTTCAGATTAAAAGTTGTGCCTCGCCTCCGCAGCCAACAATTATCAAAAGATGCAGCTTTTATTTTAAAGGTCAATGTTTTCTGTTTCCAGAAAACAGTTTGTGTCACGCTTTTCCTAATTTCACCATTGCTAGCAGAGTACCTAGCGGCAGCAAATGCCATCAACCTTCAGCAACCACTTGCCAAGTGGTCAGGGAATACATGACTGGCAGATGGTTGCCGGCTGGTCTCTTGGGCTCTGTGCTAAAGCTTTAGCTTGCGAAAAGCAGCCTATTTTTTTTCAGGCATTGGTCTTAGAGGCACTAATTGCTGTGTATAATTAACAGAGTACTGCTCAGTCAAAATGCATGCATTGCTGTATTTAAATTATGAATAAACAATGATGGTGTCAGTGTGCTAGTTTATTCCACAGCATTGTTTTAATTGGCAGCGCTAAACTATGCTTAATTTGTCCAGAATGAACATTAAATGAAAATAATAAGGTATTTCAACCCTTTGCAGCTGGATTGTGATGAAGATTCGCCCAACTTTGATGAAGATGGACGAGATGAGTACAATGAGATCCACATGCTTGTATAAATTTAAGCTGGAACCAGCTAAAAGGATCACCTACACCCTGCAGGTCTGACCGATCGGAGGAAGCAAATCTTGGAAACCTCATTGTCTCTGGATAGCAAGAGGAGCTTCTGCAATGGTGTTTGTAAAATATACAGAATCTATAGCTGGATAAGCACTTTTTACCTTTATTTAATCCATTTTTTTAAAAGCACATCTAATGTTAGATCTTTGTGGTGGTGTCGATGTCTTAACCCTGACAGAAATAGCTCTGAATGCATACCTGAAGTGGACTATACCAAATCTAGCAGCATACATAACTTATATGAACTCTTTTTACCTGATGTCTCCCTTTAATTAGTCTGCAGGTTCTGGGCATAAGTGCAATGATAGCGGGGACCTTTAGGACTGCAGCAGGCTTGATTAATTCAGGCTTATTTTGGGACTGATCTGTGAGAAAGGAAAGATTTTCTTTAATGAGGAGAGGATTTCAATCAAACTTAATAATGTTTTCAGATGAACTTTCTCTAAATGTAAAGCCTTCAATTGGTTTTACTGCCTCTGTTGTTAAACTGCCTTTTTCCTTTGTATTACTGCCTTTGTCTATAGGTTGCAATGGTGTGCAAACAAGGAGTTAAGTCAGTCCTTTTCCTTTCTGTACAGACTTGTAGGAAAAAAAGGTCACGTTTCTCTGCCAACCCAGCTCCCTGGCACAAGTTCTCATCTCTAAATGTAGTCTCCCGTGAATCCAAAATCCCCTAGAGACTGTGCCTCTTCATGGGCTGCCACTGTACTTTTTTTAAGGTGATTAATGCCCTCCACTGATCCCATTATTATGACCTTGGATGTATAAGTAAATAGCTAACATGGTCTAAACCTATTTTTCTACTTTGTTGTATCTATTTATTTTGTGACCTTTTGGACTTAACGCTATACCATGTTCTTAGTGGTATTTAGATTTCGGATAGCTTAAGCTACTGTTAGAGTTAGTGTAAAATATAAAGAACATTGTGTAGAGTGACACGTTAAAAACAGAAAAATGTGTCTTTATTTGAAGTATCTGTCAGTTTTTTGCTAAATTTGGTATATTTTTTAAGAGATGTCATGAATAATGCACTTGGCTAACACAGACACGATAGTACTGAAAATGTTGGGGAGCATTTAAACATTTGCAGGATGCATGAAGGTTGCATTGCACAGACTGACTGTGAGCTTGGGATTGTAATTTACCATCTATTTTTAGAGTTATCCTATATTGCAACGGACACCTGCTGCTTCAATAGGTACACCTGTTCATCTCTTTGTTATCGCAAATCTAATCAGTCAATCGTACTGCAGCAACTGCAGTAATGTATGTATGCATATAGACAGGTCAAGATGACTTCTTGAAATTTGTCCAAGCATCACATTTGGGAAGAAAGGTGTTTTTAAGTGACTTTAAATGTGACATGGTAGTCGGTGATAGGCAGTCTGGTCCGAGTATTTCCGAAACTGCTGATTTGCTAGGATTTTCCCACAAAACCATCTCAAGGGTTTACACAGAATGGTCTGAAAAAGACCATTCTGTTCTCTTTCTGGGTGAAAATGCATAGCTGATGCCAGAGGTCAGAGGAGATTCTGCTTTGAGCTGATAGGAAGGCAGCAGTAGCTAAATTAACTGCTCATTGCAGCCAAGGTATGCAGAAGAACATCTTGGAATGAACAGCATATTGAACCTTGAATCGGATGAGCTACAACAGCAGAAGACCAAAAACCTCAAAATCCCTCCACCAGATCTCAAAAGGGGGTCCAACCTGGTACTACCTAAGGTGTACCTAATAAAGTGTAGTTTTGACACATGCACATTTTCAGAAGCGTTTCTTATTTCATGCTACACAGAAACACATAACAGCTGCTGTACATAAAACAACAAAAAGATAAAACTAATTTATTAATTAGTGTTGGAAATTGGTGGGATTTTACTATATTTGGCTCAATGGTCCATTTACGGTCAGCAATTAAAAGCTTAGGAACTGAAAGAAGAAGCTTCACATTTAGATGTTTTGAGGATATTTACTGTCTGGTTCACCAAACATTAGGATTATAAAGTTTATTCTTATTGATTTTAAATAGACGGGAGTTGTTGAATGCAACAAAAAAAGTGAGCACATTGGGTTCTGGTCTTTTTCCATGTTTGCATTCGGTGGCTCTCTTGCTTTCATCACTGACACACTCGGGAAGCGTCAGCTGAGTCCTGGGGATTCTAACTGGGTGGATATCTGCAGAAAGTCAGCAATTGTCTGCTGTTTTTTCTTACAATATCTTGATGGCACACTCTTTGATCACATTCAGTGAAAGTGGAAAAGAACAGCAGAGATGATTGAACCCAAACCCAAATTCCTCACTCTGGGGGATGCTTGGCAAAAAGGTTAATTCAACATGAAAGTCTGTTTCTTTGCACTGTTACTACCAAAATGTATCTACTGCTAACATTTAGTCTATGAACCTTTTAAAAGAAAACAGTGCATAGTAAGTTAGGAGAGAGAGAGACTGCTTGGCAGCTGAAGAGGTTTCTATAAATTACTGGCAAACAAGGCCAAAACCCCACTATAAACATACTTTAAATGGTCAGCAATGTACTGTTATTCATCTTATTTCACATAACCATGCCCTATATTATGAGCCATGCAAAGATTCAGTCTCAGGGGAAACTGACCTTTGATCTGTAAATATTGCTCCCCAGCCTTTAGTTTGTTGCCTCTTTGTGTAAATAAAGCGGTCAGGGCAATCCGGCGCTTGCTATGTAAAAATCTATGGCTTACAGTCCCGGCTTTTATGTTGTACAATGTAGGAAAAAGAGGTCAAGTGCGTAGAATTATGTGTTTACTCCAGTGAAGTGACATAGAAGTTTAACGGTAAATGAATCTCTCTTTCCCCCCTAGATTGTTCTCTGTAGGCCTGCACTTGAAGCTCCACTTTGATGTGAAGCGTACACCTGCTGCAGTCTGTATTTAATTCTGCAGCTCCCCGAGTTAATGAGTAACACAATGTGCTTTGAATTAGCACTCTGTAGCAGTTTCATTTAAAATGGGCTGCGTTATTAATGGACCTTTTCAACCATGTGTTTATGTTTCAGGAGTTTACAGAGACTGGAATGGCAAACTGAGGGCAGAGACAGTGAGGTATTTTCTTCATTATACCCACCCCTATCCGTAGTCGTGACATTATTGAATGTTTGCCTCTTATTGAGTGTGTTTTTAGGGGCAGGAACTTGATTTATGGAAGTTCACTAATGACACAACTATGAGTGGTCACCATGTTAGAAAGCGCACTGCCAAATAATTTTGCAAAAAAAATGAAAAAACTATTTTTGTTGTTGATGTTTTGGGGGGTTTTTTTTTTCTCTTTTTTTTTTTGTGACATTTATGTATTTTTTGTAACCTAGAATTATTCTAATATTGTATAAATTTAAAAAGTGTAAACTCTAGATTGCCCTGAGTAAGCAAGCATCCCTCATATTTTCTGCCTTACAGACAATTTTTTCAGTTTGTATTCATCTCATTTACAAGGACGACAGTTCATTTGAAATAATGAATACTGAAAAGAAATTTAGCAAGCAGCATTTGGATGGTATTGTGGCAAAAACAATGTGTAATGACCATTTTTAAACACCACGGCCAACCAAAGAATTATTGCTTCCTATGTCCATTTCTTTATAACCCCAATGTCCCAATCTTCCGCTGGCTTCTTCCAGCAGGCTAACACACCATGTCACAAAGCTCAAGTGATCTTAAACTAGAGTTCAGCTATCACTCTAATTGAGCACCTTTGGGATGCAGTGCAATGGGAGACGGTAGATGTGCAGCCAACAAATCTGCAGTAACTGTGCAAAGCTATGCTATCATGTCAGTCTGAACCAAAAATCTCAGAGGAATGTTTCCACCACCTAATTTAATCTGTGCAATGAAAGATTAGGCCAGCTCTGAAGGCAAAATTGGGTCCAACCTGTTAATAGCAAGGTGTACCTAATGAAGTGACCAGTAAGTGTATAGTTTTATTTAGAAAATGAAAAGCATTTATAAATCTTTTCAGGCAGACTAACATTGTTTAATAGTTTGTTGAAAGCTTACATTTGTTCTATGTCTAATAGTTTTGTCAATATTTAACTTCCATACCTAAAAAGCACACACTAATGTTAGTTGTACACAGAGCACTAAGTGCATTACTATGAGAGACTAAGAGTAGATGCTGTACAGCCAGCTGTGAGTGGCTGAGAACATGAGAATCAAAAGGGGGGTAAAGATTTTATTTTTTAAAGTAAAATGCCTTGTTGGTGCCATTAATAACTAAATATGCAGTGAAAGCTTTGATAGTTCATTTTTTTAGCCAAAGTTGTTGTTTGTCAACAATGCTGTGCTGATTCAACCTGTGATGGTGAAAGAGGCTCTGAGGTGTATGCCCGATACAAGTGTGTGTGTGTGACACGAGCTGCTGTGTCTGTGGAGTCCACAGCCTAAAAAGAACCAGCAAACTTACCAAAACATCCTTTCAGTATTTACACAAGAGAAAAAGTGGAATTGTGGGTATTATTAAGATAAGAAAAGGTGTGGCGCTGCCTCTTGGTCCTGTCTGGTGTTGGATGTCAGAACACACGAGATGTAAAGAAAAATCGTTCTGGTCTTTCTGACCCTTAAAGAAAATTCTGTCATGTTCTCACGTCACCTCATTTCGTCACCTTATGCCTCAGTGGTAGCAGGCCAGGCCACCCACCCAATTCTAAGACTTAGCTCTGTTATTTTTGAACCAAGACTAATCCACTGTCATCAGCTTGAGTGAAGACATCTGACAAGCTTGGGTCTTTAGCATATTGAATAGTGTACTCGGTTTGACTATATATAACGATAAATCAGATACATGTGAAACGAGATTAACTGCTACAAGGAAATGCAGTAATACTGATATTTTCTTAAGAGCAACAGAAATATGGTGGATGCTGAAGGAATGCCACTAATTTTTTTTTCTTCTGTCTTTGGTATCAGATTTTCCTCATCTCCTGCTGTAAATTAAATACTATCTCCAGTATTATCCTTTTTTAATCTTCCTTTTTGTGGATAGTATTTTTTTATTCATAGAATAATAATACGTTCAGTTCAGTTCAGTGAGAAACACCAATGGTTTTTAAGATTATGCTATTTGTTTATGCTGAAGTCACACTAGGGAAAACTAAATGAACCAGGTCTGGAAACCACTCACAGTCAGTTGTACTCTTCAAAGCAAATTTACTGAGTCCAGACGGTGATAAAAGAGCACTAAGACAGAGTGAGTAGGATGTGGTTTTACCTGTGCAAAAACTCTGCAGCCTTGTTTTTAATAGAGGAATGTAATCGGGATACAAGCAGCCGGCAACCACTTGAGTCGAGTCCCGTATTGCAAGGAGTTGTCACAGTCGAGTTGCACTCATCTGCACAGACCGACTCTTTCTGTGCTTACAAAATACGCAATGATTATTTGAAAACCTTTGCCAGTCGGAGAGTGATTACAGTGAGTCCCATTCCCATCACGAATAAGTTGTCTCCACTTGGCAACCTGTGCAACTGCCTTCCAGTTGAAAGTGGTCGCCCAGAGGTTGAGGGCGTCACCCACTCAACCTCTGGGTGACCAGTTGGTCGACACCAGTAGTTGCACTTGGTCTTTGACAGCAACAAAGTTCCATGAAATCACATCAACCACCAGTTTTTTTTAATCATAAGGACTGTTTTTACTCTAGTGTGACTGATCCACGAAAGACAAAACGACTATACGTTTCTCCCAGCACGGTGTAAGCTGCATTTAGCAAGGTTTTAATAAGAGACAGACCAAAGAACTCTACAACACACAACAGCTAGCGAGTCTCATGATCAGCGGGGTCAGCAGTTAATTGGGACTCCCTGTTATGCACAAGGTGTGTTTTTGGTGGCAAGATTACCTGCTGACAATTAATGGTCCCGTTTTAGAGACCCGCATTAGCAAATTTCGCTTAAATTTGCTTATTAGAGTTAGGCGCTACTTGGTAACTTTACCTGCATGTTGGGGAACAAGGAGTTTGAAGTGGCACTTATTTAATTAACCGTGTGCATCAGGTAACAAATACCAAAAAACACCTTGTGCATAAATGATGCTAGAGTCTTATTAGACATAATATCACCAATTGGCACTCCTGGATCTGAACAGTCTCTAGTTTACCCACCGATTCTTGAGAAAATTCCTCTTTGGCTTAAAACATTCAACTTGCTTTCTGTTTTTTTGCTGGGCAACTGATCCTCAGTCAGATTAAGAACGCTAGCATCCTTTGCAGATTACAAGGAACCATAAAATTATTCAAGTATTGAAATCCCCCCAAAACACCTAATGGATCTTTACATTGTTTTACTGACACAGTTTTCTGCATGAGCTCTGCACAACAGTCCTTTTAAGTAGTAATTGGATGAAAAAATAATTAAATGCGGTATGTTTGCATCTGTAGATGACACTTAGGTCGTGTGAATACTTTAATAGCAGGTCTGTCTTGCTATGGCTACAAAGAGGTTTTCAAAAAACTGTAAAGCATTATTTTTTTGTCTGAAATAAATATTTATTATGTGTTTCAAATACAAATGGAATTGTTTTTATTTCTGTCAACATAAAAATGATTACAGTATAAACCAGATTACTTCTGCCACACATGGAAGAATAATGGAAGTGAAGGACATTCATTAGGTAAGTGCTCAGTGTATGTTCATTTTACAGACTGTATAATGTGATAAATATGTACTGTATATTTACCAAACAAGTCACAGAGAAATACAGTGTTTGACCTTTGCAGGGAAAAATCACTACAACAATAAAATGGTTACATTTTCATAGATTTCCTCCAGTTGTGTTCATATTTGTTTATGGCGGGTAATATTCAAAACAATGTTATTTTTTAAATAGTAAAATATCTCCTATAATTTTACAGTTGGATGACAAAATCCTGTAAAATGTTGTTGTTTTCTGTGCATTATGGTTTTGGAACTCAAACATAAAAAACATAGCTTTGTAGATTTAGCCAATGTCTCCCTCAAGACTGCCTTTGTGGGACCTCGGGACGGCTTCCAGCACTTGTAATTAGTCTGGCTCACTCTATACAGGTCATAATGATGATTTATAAAACAAAAAAACATTTTAGAAATACAATTTTTGGTGAAAAAAATAAAAACTGTCCAAGTGCAGAGGCAGCACATAAGGTCAAGAGTGTCTTTTGTAAAAATCTGAGGTGTCTCATGAGAGCATTTGTCAAAAAGGACCTGACCTGTAGTGGATGCTTTGTGTGCTGACACTATGAAAGCCACATACCAACACTATGATGGTGACTGGAGGTAATGTCAGTCACTAGTCACTAGATGTTGTTCTCTGACATTCTTCTCGAAATATTAAATTTAAGGCTGGAAGTGTTGTTGTTTTAACAAAAGGGAGGACATACAAGTGATCAGAGGAGGAGTTCCAGAGAGAGAGATCGGAAAACAGCCAGAGCGCTGGAAATGGTGCAGAGGTGCACAGGGATCCTGAAGGGGACAGGGGAATATTTAAAACAGGTGAGATTTTTGCTTTGTTCCACCAAACGTGACCTTTGGGGGATTTGCAGTCATTGTTGCTCAATTTACGACACCCGTTTATAAGCTCCCCTGCAATTTGTCTGCTTGGATAAATACATTTAGGTCCAAAAGAGTCTCAGTTGTACAGTTGTCCTCTCCGTTGCAGTCTTTTGGATCATGAAACTCTTTGTGAACAGCCCAAGATACTTCTCCAACCAAACTTAAGTAGTCAGGCGTTTTCACTACTTCATTGAATAGAAAATGTATTTTCTGATTTATGTAAAATGATTGTTTATTAGCTTGAAGTGTCTTCTTCCAGGATGAATTTCCTGAATCTCTGCAACAGAGGTAGCAAGCACAGTTAGCACTGTCAGAACACTGGCTAAAAAAATATTCCAATTTTCCTTCGCTGGGTATTTATGTGTCCCTGGGGGCGATGTGAACACACAGAAGAGGCAGAAAAAGTGTGACAATAATACACGGTGCTATTAACATGATGAGAGTGAAGAGTGGGGGGTCACGAACGTATCCACATAGCGAAAAGTACGTCTGGTGGACCTCCAAGTAAATCTCATCTACCAAAAATCCATAACCCCAACACCGAGTCTTCTTAGCCCAGTCTTCCACACATGTCATCAATTTGTTGTAGTTGCTGCAGAGAAAGAGAGTGAGACTAAAGTCAAGGTGACTCAAAATTACTCAGGCGGTAAAGAATTTCACTTGTAACATTTTTAGGGTGTGTGAAATATGTACAGCATGAATCTGTAGGCTGAGAATCAGATTCCACGTCAGCACAATCGACATTATTCATACATGTAGCTTTAAGAGTTGGGCCTTAGTCTGCTCGGTGAATCCTTGGAAACCACAAGTCACTAGGGAAAAAGTTATTTTCCACGATTGCAGATTGCTGCAGTCGCCTGTAGCTTTCATAAAACACGCCACCTTTTCATAAAAAGGTTCACTGCTGCTCAGTAGTTGGTAAGTATTTGCACACAAGTCTGTGTCTTCCATGCAAACGGCAGGCAATGGCAACAATCTGCTAGTGACCGAAGTAATCACATGGAAGTTTTTGGTGCAGTAGCATTTTTGTAACCATTTTCACCTAGCGACTAGCAGAGGGATACACATTGTGGTTGTCAGAGGGTCACCGATCAGTCTCTCCACCTGGGTGACTGAGGCCTTAACATTTCAGCTTCCTGTTTCCCGTTTAGCTAACAGTATTGCCAGGCAACAGAGCTGTTATGTGTGTTCTACTGACCACAACACACCCAACTGTCTGCAAACAGACCTTCATTTCATGGGATAACTGAGTAAAGACTTATTAATAAATTAAAAGATCAGGTATGCATGAATTATTTATTTGGCATCATCAGGACAGACCAATCCTCTTTCAGAACCCACCATTAATGCATTTTAAATGGGTCATCAGCACATTTTCATTTATCATTGGGGGAAAATCAGCCATAAGATACCAAATAATATAAACATTGTTTATTTCTTGCAAATGCACTATTAAAATATCCTGATGCCAGTGAAATGTACAGGTGCACTGGTTCAAAAAATGGGAACACATGACTGTGCTGAGTAGGATGTAGCATGAACAAACAACAGCAGATGAATAGAAGCCATGCTTTTTGCCTCAGTTCACCTGGCATGATCATAGATCCATGTCACACAGTTGCATTGCACTTATAGGCGCCTTGTTTATAGGCGCACAAAGCCAAAAACATCAACAGCCTGAGTGTCTTCAAGATTTTTATAAATGGAGAAATCACCCGCTGATGTTTAGGCAGCAGCTTACATTTCAAGTTTAAGCATTAATTTGTCACGTCCTCGGGGCAGAGAAGCAACCGTAGCCTCTCTAAACAAACATAAATCTCGCAACCAGATGTCGCTGCAAAATTTTAGTGTGGAAAAAATCCACCGAGGCTCAATTGAACCTGACAGCCAGAAGCCTGATCAACAAGCAAGGCTCCTTGTGACGATGGACACTCCACCCTTACACACCATTTAAACTCTACGGTACCTCATCTCCCAAATTATGCTGACAGTAAAATATGGATTATTACAGTCATAATTAAAGTCCACTGCCATCCACTCCAGGTAGCACGGCAAAGACTAAAGTCTCCAGAAACAACTGCTGTCTGGAAATATGAGCCCAAGAGCAATGGTCTCACATGTTTTCATTAGAATATGAGTAATTAAAACTTCGACCGGCATCAAATGTAATGAGGAGACTGGAAAGCATCTGATTTTCCCATGACTAAAGGTTATTATACGTCTTTACTGAAAAGGCAGTAAAAAGAAGTGTCTGTATTTCATTGTAGAGTTCAATGAGTGAAAACACAGGAAGGCTGGATCTTTATCCAGCCTTCCTGTGTTTTCACTCATGTTGAGCTCAGCACAGACTCATGCATTAATGCTTGGTTAATCACTCACCACTCATTCAAGTCTTGGAAACTCATGGGAGCCTCTTGTCCAGTTAAATATAACTCATTTGTCTCTCTTATATAAACACACAGAAAAAAAAAAACCCGACAACTTTATATTAGCTAAATTTAAAAAATAAACAAATGAAGAAGAAAAGAAGAGCCTAACATTTACCTTTGAACCATAGGCCACGGGCACATGTTCTGATAGTCACTTGTCTCCATGCTTTTGTTGAAATCCAACAGGCAGTTGTCAACATTGATGTCAAACAGGTCCTCGTTGCATGGTGGACGGACAGCTTCTGCTGTGATTCCTGAAGAAAATGACATTGCACAACATAGGCGAGAGTCAGCACTGCTGACTCAATTCAGGATAGCGCATATTAATGTTAGAAACATCACTGTTTGCCTGTTCATTTTTTTTGTAATAATTTGGATTCAAATTGGCTTTCAGTTAAATGTAATGAAGGGTTCTTGTGAATTAGAAGATGTATCAGGCCTGGATATATCTTGTAATTCCCCAATTTGAAAACATAAACCATAAAGGAAACTTCATTCACACCCCTTTTTTATATGACAAATAATTCTGTCTTCACTGAATCTTGCAAATATATGCATGCAGATGAAATGAATGAAATATTCTAGCTGAAAATCTTTTCTGATGTTGTGTAATTTGTTGAAAATCACACAAAACGAAAGGTACAACTGCCATATGAGTATAATGATAAATAATATTGCATGCAGTGAATGCTGCTGGTTTAATTGTGCCCCCTTTACTCCTTCGCTTTGCAAACTGTAGCCAAATATGTGTTGATAGACCATGCAGTAAAACTGAAATATATTATTAGCTCCATTAGCTCCCTTTGCCCTTCAGTGGGACTCCAACATTGCTACAAGCAGCTACATCTAATGCATGTTTGTGGAGCATATTAACATTATTAGAACTCATTGAACTTCCAGATGCTTTTATTTGTCCCTGTGAGACATCTCCACCCCCAACCCAGCCACCCGAGGTTCTCCTTTGCCGGCCCATTTAAAAAACCCTGGAAACGCTCCCATTTTCCTGTTGTGAATAACTGCTGTTTTGTCTGTCTTGATACATTTAGCTATAAAAACTTTTTAAAAAAAAAGATTCCTCTAACCCAAATATACCTTTTAAGTTCTCATTTTTGGTCTGCAATGATTGTGTGATTGACTACACTTACCTGCGCAGATGAAGAAGATTGCCAGCAGGTAAGCAGTCAGCATGATCTATTAAAAGATTGTTATGAGAATTCATTAATACACCGAACAACCACTGGTTTACATCCTCAGCATGCACAGAGTGCAGGTGTTTTCAAACTTCCTTGACGGAGCCATCTGCACCAGCGTGACACTTCTCACTTTTTTTGCAGCAAAGTCTCCGACCACCTTGGCTCCTTCACGTTATCAGGCACCTTTACACAGACCAACAGTCTTGCTGTCTCTGGCTCATATCGAGTCCCCTGAGGAAGTCCAAGTTGTGAAAGAAGGGGTATTTGGTTACACGGTTCCTGTGTAGCTTACTTGCAGCTTCTGAAGATCACACAGTGGCTTAAGGGCTGTTGACAGCACTCATAAGACAGGTAGTGTTCCTGACACTGCAGTGGTTTTGACATTTTTTAGGTGGTGGGTCATCTACACTTGTTAGTTGTGGTTTGCTTCTGATAAGTGATCCATTTCCTTTCTCCCACATTTTGTTTTCCTCCCCGCTGTCTGTCAGGGCCTTGGGGTCACGGTCCCATAAATCCCACCATTCAGCAACTGTGCAAACGGACTGGGTTTTCCTTTTCAACGTTTTTTACGAGATTATTTGTTAGGACCAATTTGCTTCATGCAGTTGAAATGACTGCTGACAAAGTAGTGATAAGCTAAAATAACATTAATAATGCAAGATGGTTTTCAAATGGGGATTTTGTAACAATGTGCCTACTGTGCATGTGTGTTTTTGCTAGTAGGGATAGTCAGATCACTCCTCAGCTCCCTACAAACCTAAATTCTCCATTCTGTTTTTATTCTGTTAATTTGTCTTGTTGAGCTTTACAAAATGACACTTTCTCCAGTTTTGTTTTCTCTGCTTCCTCCCCTCACTGGAGTGTTAATTCTTTGAAATGCACATAATGGTTTCCACATTTGACATTTCTTGTATTTTCTAGTTATGATGCACAATAACAAAGACAAAGAAAAGAGACCCTTTCCTATTTTGTCAGTCTGCATTTAAAAGGTAGATATACATTTAACATTTAAGGTTCCAACTTTCACCTCAATCCCAAGCATACACCTTGAAAGAAAAAAGGATGTGTATGAAGACATGATGTCCATCTGCTTCCTGGACATTCCCACAAACTAATGAATTTATCTCGTGGGAGGAAAAAGTGAAAACAGATGTTGCCATGGAATGTTGAAAAGCATTTTCTTCTCTTTGTATTTTCCTCTCTTATGTGCACATGTGATGTTTGTCCCTCTATAAAAGCACATATACTGTCAGTGATGTAAATGCACGAATTGTTATATTGCAGTTGGTTTTACAACCTATGCGGCGATCCATCCTGCCAACACTTGTAAATCATTTTACGAAACCCAAAACCTATAAAGATAAAAAGTTCTACAGTCACGTACCTCTGTTGTTAACCAGCTGTCGTAGATCCCTGGTGAACGCGGAACCTGTTGAAGATGCTGCCGATTGTTTACCAGCCAGCTATTAGACGCACGACTTCTCACACAAAGCTTCTGTAGTGATCTGGTGCTGTTTCTTATCGGTGGAACTCGGAGCTAATTGGATTGTGCAACAGAAATGAACAGCCTGCTCCCTTTCCCAGACCAAGCCTGCCTGTTCCCATGCTACCCAAAGGCGTGTTCCAGTCAGAGCCCCCCTAGAGAGACTTTAGCAAAACTCTAAGAGTCAAGAAGCCAGCGCACAGGCACCACAGACACATATTTAACGTAAATGTTTATGCTTTGTGTTAAATCATATTCTTATCCAGCTTCCCAGCAGTGGAAGATGGGGTGGGGTAGGAATTAAGGGGTGGGTTTGTGTGTGCAAAGTCAGCACACACAAACTGAAAGAGACTCACAATCAGAGGAAATTTGTTATTTCCAACTCCAACACACCCCAAGCTTTATGCTTGGGATCTGTTAGTTTTAACTCTGCTTAGAGCTGCTTTTAGATCCCCAATCTAGAGCCAAATTTATAGTTTACCTCTGCTATTTCAAAATGGTTCCTACATTATGTTTTTATGAAGACCCTGATGAAGGCCACAATGCTCAACGCTTCAGTAAAACAGTAACGCTGCTTTATATACCACTAAGTGTTCTACACTCTTCAGACTTTCCTCTCCTTGGCATCTTGGAAGCAGGTGAAGTTCATCCCTGCACTGTCTCTGTTTTTTTTTTTTTTTTTCTTCCCATAAAATTACCCCAACTTTTCCAGCATAATGCTACGTAATGTGTTCAGTGCTCAAACCTGTTGAAATATAAGCTGGTTCTCAAAAGGCAGCAAGACAGAACTGGCTGCACACCACGTGATGATTAAATGGAAAAGAAGTATGAGAACCCTGCACTGGCAAGACATACATCTTCACAGATGCAACCAGAAACTTGGCTTTGCTTATATAGAGCATTTACTGGAGGCCTGTCTTAAAATCAAAGTTTCTTGGATGAGAGGTGAAACATCTTTAAGTAACTTAAAGAAGTCCAGACGCTTTTCTTTCCAAGCTCCTTAGACTGTCTTAAAGGTAGCTACTTTTCTCCCAAATTCAAGGATGGCTGTTAGCTTTGATCCCTGGATCCTCCAGCCTGTGTGTCAAAGGGTCTTGAGGCTACTGTCGTTTTGGTTGTTTGTATACAAATAAAAGTTAATTGAGTAAGATTGTGAAATTCAATATGCATTCACTGCTTCCATTAGCGAGCAATCAATAAAAACGGTATTAACAGCATGAAGTACCTTGCTTTGGGCTTTGAGTAATGATGAAAAAGGCTTCATAAATTCCAGTCCATTTACAAAGATATTGGTTGTATCATATAACCGACAATATCAAAATGACAGTGGCAGGTAATTTTGTGTTGCTTTTGCACACAGAACTGTCTTCTGTACTGCCTGGTGCTGTAGACTCTAGAAACCCCCATACATCAAAAAATTGTTAAATGCATGATTAGTGGGATTCAATAAATGTAGTACAAAAGTTAAACAGAAAATTTCATTGCATATATAACAATCATATTTAAAGTGAAATATAAATATTGTGTCAATAATGAGAATAAATTGTAGTAATTTTGTCAGTAATACTTTTGGAATGAAGGGGTGGAATGGTGGCCATCATCTGATATTTTGAGAACAACTTTTCACGACCTAATTTTTGGCAGAATTGATTTTGATACTATCTTAGTAGACTGTTGTTATCAGGCTACTAGATGCTATGGAGAATTCAGCTGTATGGCAAATCCTTTACCTGCATCTGGAGGATGATTTTTGCAAGAGAATCTTCTAAATCTGATCAAGGGTAAGGCATAGATGGCGCCAGTGACCATCTTTCTCTTGGAAGGAGGCAGCTAGCAGGCATGGCTAATCTTGCCCCTTGGAGCAACTTACCCCAGTCTCTCCCTTCTTCTCCCAGGACTGCCTGGGGAATGTAACAATGCCCCAAAACAGAGTCCACTAAATCCAAAGGATCAACTGCCAGCATCCCAGTGCTCGACACCATGCGACACCCCCAGAGATCTTGGGTCCTGTCCATGACCTGAAGAACTCAGAGATGTTTTGGCAGCACAAAACGGCCCAACACATTAGGGTTTTAATGTTTTGGCTGATGAAAATTTGCAGCACATAAAAAGATCATTAAAAGTGATGTTAACATGTTTAGCTTTGCTAGAATAATTGAAAAAGGAGGATTGTAGGATTTTATTGTCAGTACTGGAGCAAAAGTGTATGAATGCCTATTACACAGTCACACATGATGTAATGGTGGCTTAACACACTGTCATGTGTGGAGCGTATGTTGCACCTCTTGGAGACAGGGCATGGGAAATTTCTCGCCTATGACATGAGAAAGATATTTCCTCTTCTTTGACTGACCCAGGGATGCTAGTTAGGGCTTCCAGGACTGTGTTGCAGCTCCAGCGTGACGTCAGTGTCGCTCCTTGTGTAACATGCTTCAACTTAGCTGGTCTGGGTGTATGAAGTAATGTCTGTCAGGGCCTTCTATCCTGGAACAAAGCATTCACTGTCGGACCAGTGGTTGAAAGAAATGCTACTGGCCTGTCAAATAGATCATGTAAGTTGAGAGATAAGATATGAAATATCCAACTGAAATATTTTGGTGTCTAGGTTACAGAAAGTCTAATGTCACTACGTCATCACCGGCTTGTATGTAAAACACATTTGAGCTTCATATTAACACTATTGGTAATAAAATAGTTTGGCTTTTGATTAAAGCCACAAAGTGTGGAATAGCTTTGACTTTGAAGCCCCTCTGAGGTAATGTAACAGAACCTTCGTGGCAAACAATGCAGGGAATTACTCTGAAACCCTGATGAGAACATTTCCAATTTTATGGCCTGAATTACAATATGAAGAGGGACAACCACACCCCGCTTGCATTACAAGGGTCTTGCGATTTCTTTTTCAACCATCGTGCATGCTGCATGGTGGCAAAAGTACTAGGTTTCACTTAACAGCTGGTATATCAAATATTCTTTGTTTGAAATTGCCAGCCACTCTGTCCAAGTAGATTTTAGTACTGATATTTTCTAATTCACTTTAAAGCACATCTGAGCAAATATCTTAGAGCTGCACATCTATGATGTGAATCTACACGTTCTACGACATCCCAAAGTTTCTCTGTTGGACTCATTACAGTGAAGATGACTTGAGTTCAGTGAACTCATTGTCATGTTCAAGCAACCAGTTTGAGCTCTGGTGCATTATCCTGGAAGCAGCCATCAGAAGATGGTAGTGTCTGGGATTTAACTGATGCTAGTACTTCATTACACATCACTCTGAACTCTTGATAAAAGTCGATCCATGTTTTGATCTGTTTACATGAATTCTGCCCTGCCATCCAAATGTTGCAGAAGAAACTGAGACTACTCAGACCAGGCAACATTTTTTCCAATCTCATGTTGTCCAATTTTAGTTAGGCAGTGTGAATTGTAACCTCAGTTTCCTGTTCTTAGCTGACCAAAGTGCTGCCCGGTGTGGTTTCCTGCTGTTTTTCTGCGAGATAGGAAGGCAGCTGGGTGAAATTACTTTTCTGGCATCAACAAGTCATTTCACCCAGAGAAATACCTCTCACTGGTATTTTTTCTTTTTCAGAGAGTTTCTGAAATACTCTGACCGTCCCGTCTGGCCACATTTAAAGTCACTTAAATCACCTTTCTTTGCCATTGCTCAATTTTAACTTCAGCAGGTGGTCTTAAACACATCTACATGCCTAAATACTAGGGGTGCAACGATACTCGTATTGATATTGAACCGTTCGATACAGTGCTTTCGGTACATATATGTATCGAACAATACAAATTTTTAAATTTATTTTATCAACTTTTCTTCTGGCAATGCTGTCTGTGTTGAGTGCTCATTGGATCTGCGTTCAACTACTCCGCCTAGGCTGCACTGTCGAGCGCAGATCCACTGAGCGCAGCGCAAGCTAGCAAGACAGAAGATAAGCTCCTTGCAACATGGCAAATTGAACCTCCCCCACCCTCATTCAGATCTGGCCTTTGGAACTATTTTGGTCTTCATGTGAAGTATGACCCTGAAGGTAAGCACGTCATGGACAAAAGTAAAACAGTATGTCGGATGTGCCACGCAATGCTCAGTTACATGGGTGGGAACTACTGCGTTAGCGCAGTTAGCTCGGTAACGTGTTGGCCGTCCAGCCCCAGGCACGGGGCGATCCGCGGTAGCTCGTTAACAGAGATTTGCCCTGTTGTGGCGTTAACGTCATTTCAAATTTAACGCTGACAGCACTAGTGGGAACGCAACGAATATGACTGCACATTTACTCCGACATCATCCTAATGCAAAGACAAGTGGAAGCAGACAAAAACAACAAGCACGCATGCTACAAACTTTACCCGAGTCATTTAGACAGCCTTATGGGGACCTGATATGTTTAATATGCTGCTGAGAGTATACCCCAGAAGAGGTGTATAGTATAGCTTTTATTTTGGAAAGAGCCATTTCTCTGTAATAAACTCTCTTTTCCAAAGATGAGTGATTTCTCGATCAGATAGATTAATTTTTTTATTACTTTGTTGTTTCAGCAACATTAACCTTTTGAGTTAAAATATTATATATTTATAATTTTAATAAATGATAAATTAAAAAAGCATGAACATTTTTTTGTATCGAAAAAATATCGAACCATATCGTTGCACCCCTACTAAATACATTCAGCTGTTTCCATCTGACTGGCTCATTTGATATTTGTATATAACAACACTTACTATGCGGCTGTGGCTTAGGAGCAGGTCATCTACTGAGTGACCTAACTGGAGGGTCAGCAGTTTGATCCATGTGTGTTGGCTTGCCTGTAGGGAAGATATTCCCGGCAGTGAAGCCATCAGATGTACATGTGACAGGCAAAAAACAACACAGAATAAATCGTCAATGAATATGTGTGTCAGTAAGTGTAAATGGGGACTCTACAGTGTGCCTTGTAGGATTCAATTACTATTAGAAATCTTTGAATTTATCTGATAAAATAAGAGTCACATTTATTTAAAAGTAAATGTTAAGTGATAACAGTATAGCAAACTGCTAAACGGGTCTTTAATGTACACAATTTTTCCTACACCATTACCATTTGGGTGATGACATCCTTTTCATTGTCTGTGTCTGTAAATCATCACATTTCCTCCCATACAGCTTTCAAAGCAACTTAACACAAATACCAGTTTGTCACAGAACCTTAAAAAAATATAAGAGTGTTGGTTATGTACATAACAAATGTGTGGAAAAAGTGTTTTGTCAACTTCTGTCTCCCGAACCTCCCACCTCTCTCATCATCATTCTTCTCCTGGGTTTATCTGTGAAAACATTTTCCACTCCGTTTCATGAGAGACGCTATCCAAACAGCACGTGCGCCGTCTTTAAAAGACGCACAACGTTAACTAAACCGTGTCTACCTGCTGTGTACTCTGTTTGCTCGGTAAACTGTTCCTGAAATGGAAATGTTTTCTTATGACCACTCCTCAATACGATGATATTCTGTGTGTACGTGCTGCTTAGCAACTCTGAATGAATGGGCGACGGCTGAACAATGTCGGGATGTCTAATTTTTTAAGCGGAACAACCTGATATTACGGCGCTGAGAGATATTTTAACTGGGCTCCTGAAAGATCCATCTCCCAAAGAGTCATTTAGCTGAGACAAATGGAATATTACAGAAGGTGGTCACATTTTCCAGAGTCGGTTATTTCCCTCAGTCATGGATAAATTCAAAGGACAGAACTGAAAAGGAGGCTGATATTTAGGAGGATACTGATAGGAAACTATACACACGAGGCTGATGACAATGCAGAATTTAGAATTAGTTTCAGAAAAAGAAAGCATAAAAATCCAACAAAATGTACTGTATTAATATTCTGCACATGAATCTCTAGAAGGAACACACACACACACACACACCTACATCATCGCAAGTGAAGGTTTATGAAATAAATGGCTATCTGCAATGTTCTCTGTGGGTTTGGAGAAGCAGGCTCTGCAGCAGATCCGTGGAGCAGATTATTATTTGATTACTTCAGAGAGCACCAAATAGGCCCGAAGCAAAACCCAGGACTCTGTTCAACCTTAATTTTATCAAACAGTGGCTGCGCATGAAGCTCTGGGACTGATTATGAATCCGATGTCCAGCGGTCACATTAATCAGTGTGTAATTAAAGCATGGCGTCCCAGTCATGTCTGTGAATACCTGCCACTGACCGGTGTGGTGCTACAATTACACTCATAGTTTTACTTTTAATAGCAGAGGACTTGTCCTGTTTAAACTGCAAATGCTCAAGTTTACTTTAATAATTGCATTTTTAGATTCAATCAGCAGCTTAAATCACTCTTCTTTGTGAAAAGGAATCACATCATTTTCACCTGAATCTGCAATTCTTTGTATTCCTACAGGGTATTTCGCTGGCTTTCAGCCAACTGCATTAGTTTTTACAGCCCTGTTATTTGCTACTCACACCAGCCTCATTTCCAAGCACGGGGTGGATATTTTCTGTGGAAAAAAGCTCTAAAAACCACCTGTACACCCTCAGCACCATCTGCTGGGGGTGGAAAAAGGAAGGTGACTAGGAAGGTGCTTATCAGTATCCTAACATTTGCTTCACTTCCCATCTCTTCCCAACGAAAGTAATAATGGGAGGGAGTGGACACCTTTATACATTCAGATAAATTGATTAACATATTATATATTCTAATTTGTTCAACTGATCACTCAGTGTGATGGTACATTATAGTGAATCAGCTCTACCACTTGCTTGTTATATCTTACTTTAAAAATCAAAAATTGCAATGGTCAAAATGTTCAACTAGACGTCAGCCTTTGGGTGGAGTTCTGGAGTGTAAGACAGCAAGATGACTTTACCTCCTTCCTAGCCTGCGTAGTTTCTGTTTGAAGGGTCTGACTTCTGGCTAGATCCTGTGCATGCGGTTTGCCCCTTTTCATATGAATTTGTGGGAGGAGACAAAATAAAAGGGTGGTCCCTACTCATCCTGTCCAATACTTAGACAGTCCTTTCCTTTCCTCACCAACATGGTGGTAATTGTTTAAATTATGGTTCCCATTAAAATGCAAAGAAAAAAAGCAGGATACACTTTAAAGCAAGATTATCATGTCAGTTGGAGTTCATGAGCATGGGATGTTCGGCTTCAGTGTCAAAAACATTCAACATATTCAACTCAAAGCTGATGTTGTGGACCAATGGGACGTGTCACATTGACTGTGTCCACTTTAGCTACATACCTGTTAAAACATCCTTTGAGTAATTCTGCAGTAGATGTCAGAAGGGCTGCTTTCTGCCCTGATGACACACACACAATGAAAATAATACAAGCTGTGCTGTGTGCAGGTAAAATGGTTGAGCTACTGAGGGGGAAAAAAGAGCACTTTTGGCTCCTTAGTCTTACCTTTAACTGAGTGCTAACTGACACGCAGCAAGTGAGGGAGCCAAATCACAGAAAGAGCATTGACTTTAACATTTCCCAGGAAACATCTGGTTGGACTTTGCTAGTAAGGACATGTAGATGGTGCAATTGGAGTGAAATGGAAAAACACAAATGTTGAAAAATTTCCTCTCTGGTAATCTTGTACTGAGTGACATTATAGCACCTGAAAGCAACAGTTTCAGTTTCTGAACCTTCTTATCAACAGGGATTTATATTTTGATACTTTCAGGGGGGAAAAAAGACTTCTTTCTCCTCAGTCAGTTGGTAATATGAGAGCAGATAGGACCCTGTCAGCGGCACCACAGTGTTTACCCAAACACAGAGGACTGTCAGAGGATCAAGAGGTTCATGCTGTAGGGTCATTTTACCTTTAGTGGTCACTAACAAACCTAGCAAGCGTTATAATGGGCATGTACTTCTTATACGGTTTGCTTTTTGCATATGTTGGGCTGCCTGGACTCTTACTCTGTGATTTAGCTTTCCGATGCCCAAGCTGCACCGCAGAGGATATGATGGCATGCACCAAAGTCGATCCGCTATGTGCAGAGATTGTGAGGGAGCCAGGCTGCGGCTGCTGTCCGGTGTGTGCCCGGCAGGTGGGAGAGCTCTGTGGGGTTTATCTGCCAAGGTGCTCCACCGGTCTGAGGTGCTACCCAAGTATGGATGCTGACTTCCCTTTACAGCAGCTCATTCAGGGTTTGGGACAATGTGGACAAAGAATAGATGTGGATGTCTGGGAACATTTGAACCCGTCGGGGTATGGTAAGTTCTATGAAAAAACTGCTGCAAAGTAGTAGAATAAAGAAAGACCATTAAAGCTGCATTAATCTGTAGTTGCTGTTTTCAATCACTAAATCGCTTTTTATATTTAAATTGAATAAACTGAACAGAGAATAATCCCCCAAGGCTACATTGGCCTTACTTTTTAGACCTGGAGGATACATGGATCTCTTCCAAACCATTGTACATGGTAGGGGTTTTACTTTTTAGAACTCATAGTGTTAAGACTTAAAGTTAGCTCCATGGCTACTTTGACAGGTACCTGGCAGCTACAGCCCATCACTGTCTGGGCTTTACCTCCACTAGTGGGAGCCTCTAATCCGGACTTCTTTTTTCTGCTGTTGGTGCCTTTTTGAACATTTTAACTAAATTATCTAACAGATAATCTGTGGAACTAACCATCTCGGCAATTTGTGCTTTGGCGAGGTATATTCAGTGTTTTGTCTGTTAAATGTTTCTGTGTTTGTGTAATTTAACTGTAAAGTTAATGAACACAGTTCATTAACCAAATTTGCTAGCTTTCCCTTATAGTGCTGCCATCCAAATACGTTCACTTCTTTCTCCAATAAGCCAACACAGTGGTAGCCAAAATGGTGGTGAAACTTCAAAATTCCGAATCCAAAACTAAAGGCTAAGATCAAGTCAAGGGTGATGTCACATCCATCTTTTAAATACAGTACATGATATATTGTTATATATTGAGGGGTCAAAACTAGGGATGGGTACCGGTATCATTATGGCACCGGTTCTGACATAAACGGTAGTAACCAGACCGAAAAGCAGCGCTTTTTTTTTTCCTGAGATGTCATACACTTTGGATTCCAGCCAATCGTTTTATCTTTGCGAGCGTAGTAGGCGGGCCCAGGTACGTACATTCTTTTAGAGCAGAGCTACAGATTAAAAATGCCCAAGGCGAAGCTGTCAAAGTCTGGCTGTACTTCTGAGCAAATGATGCAAACTCAGCAGCCTGCAACAAGTGCTTTAAGGTGATACTGTGAAAAGGAGGTAACTCCTCGAATCTGATGAAACACCTAGCGATGTATAGCATTTTGTTAAAAGCCGAGAAATGTGCTGTATTTTCTAGCTTGCTGGGAGACCTCACACCGTGCACATCTACTGCGCGTGGTTAGCCTGTTATCTGCAGTGTTGCCAACTCCTCAGTAAGGAAAATCGCTATCGGTTGTCCTAAAAGTCGCTAGAAGTCGCCAAATGACGTCATCGCCTAATTTGCATAATTTGTCATGCTAATGTAATTGTAACCTACGCTGTTGGAGAGAGAAATAACATCGTAGAAGAGACATAAAGTGAGTAAAAAACGTCCTAAATGCAGTTAGAATTTATTTAGAACTACAAATTAAATTTATTTTAGCAATTGTTGTTTTTTAATGTCACAATTCCAACCCTGCTCCTTTATCCAGGCCTGGACCGGCAAAAGTGACCTGAAATAGGCACTCTGGTGGAGTTACTTTGTGTGTGAGAGTGTGTTTATAAGTAGTTTTAAACCTTGTGATCCACAAAACAGCATAACATTAAAAGAAGAACTGACTGCGTTACAGTCAGTGCGGGAGCAGCGGCTTCGTTCATGCGCGATTCATTTGCCGTTCGGACGCACAGGTGTGAACATCTCCTGCTCTGATAGCAGCTGGGGAGGACTATCCTCCGCCTGTGTGCGCTTTGGCACGGGTGAGGTGCCCAAGGCAGCACCCGCTGCTTGTTGAGAGTAAGAGCGATACGCGTTTTCACGTCAAAAAGTCGTCATAAATAAGTCTCCAATAATATCAGAAAAGTC